TAAATAGCAAATTATTTGCGCTTGATATCAGTCGCAACTTTGTACGTAAGAGATAAAAGACTGCAAACTTACGATTGATTGGAGGACTTGTGATTAGTCGATTCATTAAATTTCATATCCTTTTTTTCAGTCCCTTTTTTTTTAGTCCCACATTTAGTATCATTCAAACACATCGCTTTAATTTCAACTTCTCTCTTAAAATAATGATCATGCTTTTATCACTAATTATTGCAAGTTACAAATATGGGTTTAAGAATGTAGCCAATGAGAAGCATCGAAATGGATCACGTGTGCATGCGGTAATTTTTACCATATGCACGGGGATTGCATTTCGGGAATAACAACCGTGAAAAAAACGTGCAACGACCCATGACGTTATGGCTACGCGGCGCTATTCGGGTATTCGCAATGGCAAAAAATGCACCAAGCACCGCATCTCCAAAACCCACTCACACCTGTGTATTATTTGTTCAATATCATGTCATGTACAACTTAAACTAGTAAATAATATGAACTTGTAAGGATATAATACCATTCGGGTGTATTATATCTTGCTGTCTGAATAAGATCATTTCTTCTCACTAAACACACGCCCCTGTCCCCCGAATCTTCTTTGTTCAGCATATTCATATCGTATTCCAAATGTTAATCATTGCGGCATATATCGCATGCGTTGTAATGATTGACTTACATTCCTTTCCAACTTTTGCCTATAATTAGGACAACCTTATTCTAGTATCGAGTTTCAATGTTGTTACGAACCTGAATATTGTGAATATACATGGCACTATGGACCGACTAATCTTAAAATCAATTCAATGCAACAATCACCTTTCAACGATATTACCTTCATATCCATTTAACTTTCATATTATTCGTCTAATGTTGTCATGCATATCTACACCTAACTTACCTCTATTACATTTTAAATCAACATTGTGTCCTGAGATCTATCAATACTATCTATAGGAAAAGTGTATTTTTGAATAATAATTTTATTTGCTAAGCTATAACGACATTTAAAATCCTAGAGAGTTATAGCGATATACGTGTAAGTTAACATGGTAAAATGGTATCAATGTGATTTAAGTATAAATTTCAAATAAGTTGATATAGACTTGAAGATAAAGTTGAGTTCTGATCATGCGATTGCATTGTGAAAGAAACGGTTTGGAATCGATCAGGAAAAGTTGATCATGTAGCATATAAAGTATTAGTGTGTACTGCAAGGTTCTGGAATCACCTAAATGATAAGAATTTGGCCCGGTCTTTCTAATAGTAATAAGCACTGTACACGGAAATATGTATATGGGACTACACAACCATCTGGCATTAAAAGTTGGTTCTCATTTTTAAGCTGTAACATGTCATATTTAGAAAATGAAGGCATTTGAAGAGCCATGCTTTTCAGGGAACCACTTGCATAATAACAATAAAAACGCTCAACACATTATTTTTCACCTTTTCTATAAACTTGGCCTTCTCTTGCTATATGCTATGAATGCTATGAATCATATGCAATTATCCAAATCCTACAAAATAATGTTTCGCATACCTGACTGCTAAGAAAGCATAACTGCTTGTAAGTAAGCAACCAGACGACCGACGGCTTTAGAAGATAAGGGAAGCAATACCTGTAGGAACTGATTTAAGGTAGACTAGGCTCACTTTTCGTACGAAAGCCCCTTCTATTTTCATTGATATCTCTGAAAGTTTCGTAGGCCAGTAGAGTTGTATGTAGGTAATACAGCCATACCACGGGCTGCATGACTCGCCCTAGCATTGTCCCCACCACAGGTCCGTAGTACAGTGTCAATTCCTTCCAATCACTAACATAAACTACGGATGTCAGCCAGTCTGTTGCGTTCAAAAATATTGTATACATCAAGCAAATCCGTACGAATTTCAACTCGGCTTCGCTGATTATTTTCCTACGTTGGATGATAAGCAGAAATGAAGTCGTAGAACTGACTACGTATATCTCTGAAAGGTTGTAGATAAGGTCAAAGCATGCGAAGGATAGTACGTCTGTGGGTAGAGGATTATGGCCAAACAGGATTCCAGCAGTGGCAACTAATCGAAACACATTGGTCATAAACATTCCACTGCAACCAATCATGAGTATGACATCATGAGTTTCTACTAGCCCATGCTGGAACGAGATGTAATGCTTTAACCGAAAGGTTTCTAAATTACCGCTTAGAAATAGTTGATAGCGGTAAAGAGCGATGAATGGTAAGAAACCTATCATGTTAAAGCACCATATTATGTATGTCCTCGTTATTTTGGACAAATTAAAACTCTTACGGGATACTACAAACTTATGGAATGAAAACAAGATTGCGACTGTAATGAGCGATAAAAGAACAATATGACAGACGCCAAAGTATCTCCTCCTCCTCCTTGTAATTAGTTTCTTAAAGCTTTGTAACAGATTCCGGACGTATGTGCTGATGGATATTCTGCATGGTCGCTGAAAATGTTCAAAGTCTGCTTCATCGCTGCTGGTAACTTTTAGGCATGCTTGTGGAAGTATGGATACCCATATTTTCCATAGGATGCCTACTCCAAGCAGACCAATGTCTGTGTACAGGGGTGATATTCTTAACGTATGGTTATACATAACTTGGGCAAATTTTCTCGGCAGTTCACAGGAATATAGAATAGGATCGTAAGAAGGTTCTTCAACAACTCCTAGAGGATACACTGAGTTAAGAACCACCAGGCCCAGACCTGAAGCTAAGGTTGCACCAATAAATGTAGGGAAGATACCGGTTTGAAGGAACACTGCATCGTAGAATATATTGAAGAAGGCCAGACTGCAAGCTATACCAATAACCAGCAGGATATTAAACACTCCCTCGCATACCAAATTAAACTTGAGTTCCATTGGTGCATCTGAAGCATTACTATCTGTAAGACAGATGATACCAGCAATTATTTCTAATGGAAGAGTAAGTAGTGCGATAGTTCCAGACACGTTAAAAAGTATCAAAAGTGATTTATGAGGTCTTTTGTATACGGAGGACTTCAGCAAACATGTCTTCTCGACCTGCATATCTAATGTGGCGGAATATATGGACTCCATCTGTGCCAGCGGCGCTTCCAAATTTCTACTGACTGATTGCATATCACTGGATATCTCATTTACAGTTTGTGCAATTTGTTCATGATTAGACACAATTGATTCAGTTGATTCGAGAGATGTGTTACCTTTGGAACATGTTGAAGGGAGTATTGGTAGTGACCGTCGACGAGTCAAATACATTTGGGATGTCTCTTTTGGACCATCAGTACTTTGACCACGAGACTGCTGAGATATGAGGCCAATAGCCCTAGCACAATGTCGACATCGCATCGGCCAGAAAACTTGTTGACGACGATGAAGTGTCTCGCGATTCTTGATAGTCCACACGACACAAACAATGACATAGAAGGAGAGGCAACTAAAACACAATTGCATGATTGCATAGGTAAAGTTTCGGCCATCATCATCCCACCCTGTGTCAGGGATAACAGGTAATACCTTAAAGATAGAAAAACAAAAGTCAATACTTGCCAGTATAGTCACTAGCAGCATGCTGCTGTATTGCACAGTGGGAATGATTTCTGCTTTATTTGAAGCTCGATCCATTTTGAAGCATCTACGAAGAGTGGCTATTGCAATCCCCTGGAAATCAGATTTGTGACAAAGAAAACTCCACATGAACATGAAATTGCTTTTAACACTGTTACGGATGTTTATACATCAGGCAATCTCAATATTTACTGGTTGCATATATTTGTAATTTAAGGTAAGATGTCTTTCGCTATCATTCATATTACTGGATAAATGACTTGCACTCATCAGAGATTACTTACAGTATCGACTTGGCCTCTTATTAACTCTCTCTCTCTCTCTCTCTCTCTTGATCTATGTTACTTAATATATATGTTGTTTGTACAATGTTAAAGACTTGATTCTTGTATTTTTTGTCACGAATAGTATGAATGATGTATGAAATATGGGAATCTGTTCGTAATTTAGTAAATGGGAAAAATGTACTTGCAATATTGCTTAGGCAAAAGTTCATGTGATTTTACTTTCAATTTGTTTATGAGAGAACAGATTAAACTTATAGAGGTGTCGTGGTCTAGTGTATATGTCGTCAGACTGTGAAACACAGGGTTCACGGTTCGATTTCTGCCGCAGATCTTATGTTCTTTGGCAAGAAATTAATCTACATTTGCCACTCTCCATCAGGTTTTAAGTGGGTACCGGTTGGAAGGAATTCTTTGAGTTTTGTTAGCACCGAACACGATAGCCTAGAAGAGCAGGGGTAATATCAAATATTATCATTAATGTTAGTTTTATTATCAAAAAGATAATGAGGTACCGTGAAATCGAAGTACAGTATAGAATCACAGGCACGTCATGTACATGTATTTTAATCAAGTACATGTTATTTACATGACGTGCCTGCGATATAATAACTAAATGTTCATATTTTGAAGAAACTGAATAAAGATAGGCTCACCATTCTAGTTTTAGACAATTTGTTTTTTAATTAACAACATCAATGAAAGAACTTGTTTGCCCTCTGACTGAGTCTATCTTTCTTCAGTATGTACTACTAATGTTGCTGCTGCTACAACAACAACAACAACTACAACTAATACTACTACCACTTCTATTACTATTGCTGCTGCTGCTGCTGCTACTACTACTACTACTACTACCACTACTACTATTACTATATAACTACTACTACTACTAATTATAATATTACTACTACTACTACTACTACTACTACTACTACTACTACCACCACTACTACCATTACTTCTACTACTACTACTACTACCACCACCGTTCTACTACCATTACTGCTACTACTATTATTACTGCTGCTGCTACTACTACTTCTACCACTACCACTGCTGCTACTACTATTACTACTACTAAAGTGTGTTTGATTAATGTATAATCAATATTTCCCCCTCTTGAATGATATTAACAGATTGAAATACATGATGGGACTGAATTCATCTGGTCAGGGCTAGACTGTCATGGTAATGAGTACAGACTACAGGAGTGCTATGTACCCAACACTGGATGGGAATTGACCAGTCATTGTCAACGTATCGGTGGTGCTGAGTGTGCTCTCTCTCAAGCTCTCCTCCGTGAAAGTATATACAGAGTCTTCATTTCCTTTAATTATCTATCGAATTCTCACTATTAAACTAAACGATAACTAAATAGTACTAAACTGTTTATTGATTCGATTTGGCGTATTTTAACTGAATTGAAGTAATATTTTTCGCCATTAACATGATACGACGAAATATACTTAGAATTTACAGTTTTTCAATGTGGAAATCATCGACGCTTTTGCAGTCTCTAAAAAGTATAATTTGCCCAAACATGTATATTGTCACACTCCCCCTCCCTTTCTATCTCTCTCTCTCTCTCTCTCTCTCTGTCTTTGCCTTGCTCTTCCTATCAGTCTTGCTATCTCACTCTCATTTCCTCTTCCCATTGGTAACCATCACTTTCTGTTTCAGTATGTTTGTCCGTCTGTCTACCATAGATAGGTCCAGGCGCGAATCCAGGATTTCTTAGGGGGGGGGGGGGGCCAAATTTGAAATTATGCCAGCCAAATATTGGTACGTAATGGTGACCAGCAGTGACGTAATTAGGGGTGGGTGGGTGCAGGGAGGGGCGAGTTTTCCCCCTCCGCGAAGCGCGGAAGCTTTGACATTTCAATAAATTATTAGAGAAAGAAGACGGTTCGTTGTACCATTCCCCAAAATAATCCTCGTCTGAATTATGTTTCCCCCCTATCCCGCGAGAAGCGCGAAAGCTTTTACGGTCAGATTAGCATTCAGGGGTCCGCCTTAGGACACTAGGCGGGGTCCATGGGGCAGAGCCCCGGAAGTTCAGGAGTTTTATCCATTTTATTACGGTCAGATAAGCATTATTTTGATACCTTATTGTTACAGTGAAAGGTCACTAATTGGCTTGGGAATTAGGGGGCGGAGCCCCGGAATCTCAAGGGTTTTAGGCACTCAATTACGATCAGATGAGTATCAAGTGGCCCGCCTTAGGGCTCTTGGTTGGGTCCAGGGGGCAGAGCCCCCGGAAGCTCAGGGTTTTTAGGCGTTTAATTACGGTCAGATTTCTTGATTTTTGATTTCTTATTATTTGTGACACTGGCAGGACACTATTTGGCGTGGGGTCCAGGGGACAGAGCCCCCAGAAATCAAGGGTTTTGGTCATTAAATGAGCGTCAGATGAGGATCTAAGGACCCGCCTTAGGGCCCTAGGTGGAAACCAGGGGGCAGAGCCCTTGGGTTTTAGGCATTTAATCATGGTCAGATGAGCATATTTTGATACCCCATTATAATGTGACACTGGCAGTTAACTATTTTTTCTTTCTCGCTCTCTTTCTTTTTATTTCTCTTTCTCTTTAATATACTTTTTCAAAGAAAGTGTGGGGGGCTCGAGGATCCCGATCCCCGCCGTTCAGCGGGCCCTGATATGTAGGCATCTCAAGAAGCATTTTCTTGCCTGGCTGTAATTTTAGGAATTTGTCATTTTCCATCAAACGCATAAAGTGAGGAAAAATCTCGGAAAATTATCTCATTTCAGCATTATTTGTAAACCACCGTTATGGAATTAGAAATAAACCACGTTTGAATTCTATTTCTCTAAAGCCCCCCCCCCTCTCCCTATCAGTACGCCAGTGCCCCCCCCCCCCCTCCGATCTACACCTTGTTGGCGGGAAAATTGCAACTGATATCCCTTACCTTTCTTCATTCTCTTTTTTTCCCCTTCCCTTCTTTATCTCTCTTTTAGGTTTGCTGGGGGGGGGGGGGGGAGGGGCAAGGTCATTTTGGTCCCCACCCCGCGCCACACATTGTTGGCGGGATTAACCGCAACAGATCTCCGCTTCTTTTTTCCCTTTTCTTTTTTTTTCTTCCTCTTTTTTGTTCCCTTTTAGCTTTCCTCTTTTCCTTTTGCTTCCTTCTCTCCTTTTTTAGCGGGGACGGGGGGGGGGGGGGGGGGGAGGGGGAGGCTAATTGCAACTGATATCCCCCTTCTTTTCTTTTCTTCTTCCTCTTTTGTCCTCCCCTTTATCTCCTTTTTTTCCTTTTTCTTTTTCTTTCCTTCTTTCTCTTTTAATTTTTGATTGGGGAGGGGGGAGGCAACAGCCTGGGAGGCAAGTTCTTCCCCCCCCCGGATCTCCTTCTTCCCTCTTTTCTTCTTCCTCTTCTTTTTTTCCCTTTCTCTCCTCTTTCCCTTTCCCTTCTTTTCCTTCTCTCTCTCTCCTTTTTTTTTTTTTGCGGGGGGGGGGGGGGGCAAGACCCGCTCGGCCCCCCTGGATCAGCGCCTGGATAGGTCAAACAGTAGCTCTATATTACACATACACACGCCACACACACACACGCACACGCACACACACACACACACACGCCCGCGCACACACACACTCTCTCTCTTACACACACTCTTTTGATTTTTTTCTCTCTCTCTCTTTCTCTCTCTATCTCTCTCTCTAACTCACTTGGTCTATATCTGTTTTGGAATGGTTCCCTCAGTGTCTATATATTATGTTTCCATCTCTGTTATTTATTTAGATGGCGACGTTAAACTCGTTCCCGATGGAGACTCCTACAGTGGAACTGTAGCCGTCTTTTACCGAGGAGTTTGGGGCAAAGTTTGTCCTGATGACTGGTCATGGTCCCTGGCAAACACAGTTTGTATTCAGCTGGGATATTATGGCGCCATCGAAGCTACTCAAAACGTAAGCTGAGCATTTATTTATATTTTAAAGAAAGGCTGTTTTGTTTAATATCTATTTAGTACAGCATGTAATAGCATGCATGGTTCGGATATGTCTGTCAGTTGTCCTTTCTTGTCTGTTCTACCCATCATTTTTACATGTCACATATTTGGATTTCTTTCACCCTCTTGCTCTGTTTGCATAGATTTGTTTTTACCACTTTATGACTATTTTCATTTCGTAAATTCACTATCATTTGTATTCATACATGAAAGTGAAGAAAATTCAATTAAACAATGCTTAATTTCGTGCAATTTCAGTGCAGTAGCCGTGCAGTCTCCACAGCCTCCGCATGGAAATCGTACGGAGCCCGTTTGCTGCACGATCAGCGCCAGGCCTCCGCGCGATGGCCGAGCGGGGATTGTGAAATGCCACCTACGACATGTCTACAGGCTACGGGCTTACGATTTTTCAAATTTGTATAACTTCCCGCGAAACAAAATTGTTGAGGTCGCGAAGCCCGTTAATCCCTACGAAAATCTCACGGCCGCCTCCTGCCTCTGCACAGAGGCCGCAAGGAAAAGGGGATACGGGCCCGTAGACTAATCGCAGGCCAAATGTAATCCAGGCAGACACACCTAGCTACAACCAGACTGCGGCTGGATTTGTTTTGTTGTTTCTGAAGACTGCGGTGCGTTGTGAGCCTTTTGGCCGCGAACCGTAGTGACATCCGACTGCTCACACACCTGCCTGCCGGTCCTGGGGCCCGTTTCATAATTTTTTTAAAATCTATAACAAATGCTAAATTCTTATGACAAATTAGCTCTCAGCCATGCAGCCACATGCCATGATATCAGTAGCTTATAATAATAGCTTGTACCCCCCCCCTTTTTTTTTTTTTTTTTTTTATTGATATCAAGTTTTATGAAACAGGGCCCAGTAGCTTTTTTAATTCGTATTTTATAGATGACATAGTAGTATACAAAGTATTGCAGACCCACTATGTAGCAACATATATCTTGTCATTAATATTAATATGATATGATATGAAGCAAACTTAAACTCAAGCTTCCAGCTTTTTTGTTGAAGTATATTTCCATGATGGTCGCTATTCTACCTGTTACATCAGGGCCCCTTCTTATCGTCAAATAGTTGCGATTTATTACAATTATTATTCGCGATTGATGTCAATCGTAACTCTATACCATTGTTTACAGCTTCCTGATACGGACGATGCACTGGACTATCATATACATTCACTACAATGCAATGAGTTTGAAAGTCATCTAAAATACTGTAATCTAGACTATGCCTGGGAAGATGAAGTAGAGTGTGACTTGGACAGCCATCTAGCAGCGGGTGTAGTCTGTACTCATCAATACCAAGACGTACCCTCATGTAATTACTTCTATTCTATTGTATTGAAAATACTGTTGCCCATGAAGTTTGAACGATGTTTTTTTTATTTATATCGTTTTACTAAATAATTCATTGTTACCATATTGTTAATTCGTGATATAATTTTTTTTAATCTTCTCTGAACTTCAATATCTATAACTCTTCAGATTGGTAGAGAAAGTTCTAAGAAGCTATCAACTTTATCTAAATGTATGAAGATTTAATCCTATTGTGACAATCAATGATTCATGAAAAGAGGAAAAAATTATCGATCAAACGAAATGGGCAACAGTGTATAATAATTAAAGAAACGTAATGTGCAATACAAACTGTGTTATTAGCAGAGCATCACACATGAACACATAGTAAGATGTTAAAAGACCAGTGATGATGAAGCTAAAACAGAGCTAGAATGAAGAAAAAAAAGATATATAAAAGCAGTTAATCAGGTGGACTTGTCATTGGGAGTGGCGCCCATATCCTTTGGTGCATGACATTTTAATGTTGCAGTAGAAATTCCGGTGGAAGCACGATTAAAAAATTGGTTGAATTTAACGGGTATTGCAGGGATTTGCTCGGTGAAATATATCAAAACGTTTAAAATGGCCAAAATGTTGTAAATAGTCATAGTTGATAACTTATAGTGGTAAATCGTTAATTATTAGCAAAATTACAGTCATATTTCTTTTAAAATATGAATTTTGCAACTGGCAGTTTTTTTTTTCTCTACACATTCGTAATGTACAAAACGAGGGCTGCAATTTTCACTCGTAGAGACAAAGTCAGAGTTCTTTGATACAAAATCTTGCACATCATGATATTATTACAATTTATGGTTTATAAGTTTTTCGTTGATATATAATTCATGATTTTCATTTTTCAGTTTCGACAAGGTCTTTAAAAAAACCTAGTTCTAAATTTATAACACTAATGTTAATCGATTTTGAAATGTAATTGTTCATGTGTGTGGCATACAGATGGAAAGCCGAGGTTAGTTGATGGTCCAGACGCTGGTCATGTTGAAGTGTTCCTGACTGAGTCTTGGGGATTGGTCTGTGGTGATTCTTGGTCCTATGACAATGCTAGAGTAATTTGCATTCATCTTGGATATCGTGCGGTCCTCACCACCTCTTCAATACCGGTAACACAGGATTTCCCTCCAGTATTACTTTATGTAGCATAAGGAGGATCGAGTATATTATATAAAACAAAGCCTTGTTTCCATAATACAAGGTCAATGGATATAGCCTTTTTTGTTACACCCACTAGCATCTCAAATTCACTTCAATATGCTAATTATCTTGATCTTTATAAATATTTTTCAGGCAGTCATTGTTTTTGTATAAATACCGTGGAGCTCTCATTACGTGGGGGCACGTGTCCTCTGTGTCCCATCCCCTCACAAAAAATGGGATCCACCGAGAATGCAAAAAAAAATAGAACAGCTCCAAACGAACACAAAAGAGGGAAGAAAAAGTCATATTGTAATATCCTTACTTCATTTCTCTCTCTCGCTCTGTTCATCTCTCTCTCTCTCCACTCATTCTTTATCGTTTTTTTTTTCCTGAAAAGTTGAACGAGTCCCTATCACGTGATATAGTGATGAGTAGTGTTCATTGTGACGGCATGGAGTCCTATCTAATAGACTGCCCTGCATCCTATGTGGATAATACAAACTGCCAATCAATGGCTTATGTGGAGTGTACTACAGAGTCTGATGAGCTTGCAATGCAGGAGGATATTATTAGTAAGTTTATATCTCTGTGTTTTTCTCTTTTATTTTGACTTTCCATACTTACATATATTGTTGGGTTTATAATTCAAATCTATTTTATAGTATCTTATTGTTGTATTGACTAATTATACCAGTAAAAAATATCTGCATCAACATCTAGGTTATTGGATTCATAAAGTAAATCGGCTTTAATTTGTAAAGCTCACATAGGTGAAAGCAAGTACCGGTAACATACTATTGCAATATATTTCCAAATAATCAAAATTTCTAACTTCTAACTAGTTTACTAACTTCAAGGCCAGTACCTATGGTGTTTTGTAAATTGACCCCCCCCCCTTTTTTTGGAAGTAATTCTAGTCTTTGTCTAGTTGTGCATAATTGCATTGTTAAAATGTTAGGAATACTTCTCTGTTTGAATTGTTTGATAAGCTTCAGATGGATACATTTTTGTGTGACACTCAGCAATTGCAAAATGGCCAATCAAGATCGTTGTTGCTTCACATATTGTTAGCAAGGCGGAATATTAACCAACCAAAATCGATATTTCAAATTCTCAATTGAGTGCAACCATTTGTATTACAATGCCCATGCAGGTGGGTAACCCAGTTGAAACTAGTAGTAGTTGATGTCAATTTAAAAGAAAAATACGAACAAAATGCAGATGAATCGTGATTTATCGCGTCTTCTATCTATCTTCATTTCATATTTTATTTGAAGTCTTTCGCCATCGTTTTTGGTTGTTGTTTTAAATGCATATTTCATACCAACTTTATAGTTCGACTCTCTGATGGTGGATCTCCTCGAGAGGGTCGAGTTGAGGTATTCATCTTTGGACGATGGGGTTCATTATGTGATGATTTCTGGACTGATGAAGATGCAGCCGTTGTCTGTAGACATCTTGGACATACAGTAAGTATAGATGCAAGATTTGAACAGTGTAATATTGTAATCATTCAAGTCTGTCGTCCATCTATTGCTGTTCCACCCCCACCTCTCCCCCTTATAAAAATGTACCATGTAATTACCTTTGGACAAAGAATCATGATAACCCTGGTATTGAAAAACATGGTAACACCGAACTATGATAACCACCATGGTTACCATGGTTCTTTGTCCAAAATAATCTTCCTTTCTCTTGCTCTCTTTTATTTCTGCTTCCCCCCTTCTCTCTCTCTCTCACACTCGCTCTATCTCTCTCATGCATCTCTAGACTTGACAATCTCTTCCTCCTTTTCTCAAAGTCTTTTTCTCAAATCCATTTGTCAACAAGTTTGTATAATTAATTCGACCCAACTTAGCCCTATCTCTCTCTCTCTCTTTGTCTTTTTTTCTCCCTTCTCCCCCCTCTCTCTCTCTCTCTCTCTTTTGTCGTCGTCTCTCTCTCTTCCCCTCTCCCTATCTCTCTGTCCTGCCCTTTACACTCCCGGAAGTATCCTATTAACACATCTAGTTCAACTTAAAATAGTTCTGTGTCTACTCTTGTCAATTTCCTTGGTCAGGATGGGATACATAGAGCTGTTTGGGGAGGATCGTACGGTTCTTCGTCTGCTGGGATGGTACCCGGTCATCCTATTTGTGGAGGGTGGGAGTCGACGCTAGATGAATGTTATATTCAAACCTCCTTCCAGCAATGCTACAACTCTGATGTTGGTGTCAACTGTGATTCAGGTTAGTATCCTCATCTTGGTCTGCACCTCTCTTTGCCTAATTGCATTTCTTTCGTTACCAAAATAAGATAATGAAAGGGGGATAGCAACTTTTAAAAGAAGAAATATGTGTTTAATAATTCAAATAATTTGACCCACCATGCTTCTTTATAAAAGTTCATGTATTTGTAGGTTTCTCAAGTATAGGGAAACAAAAGTGCTCATTTGTATCTTCAGTATTTGGCGTGTTAATTGTTTAGACGTGCTATAAATTCTAAATGCATTTATTTCTCATCAATACAACTATCAATACCAAATGTCAGATCACTTCCAAATCACCACATGGTTGGTTTTCTAGTAAATTGATGGGGAGACACAGTCGGAAATAAAGTTGGGACAATCTGTTAAGTCAATGAAAATCTATGCAAATATCGCATTGTTTCAATTTCCCCTTCTTTCTCTGCAGGGAGGGTGTTCACAATCATCATCCTCGTGGTGGGGGTTGTTGCAGTATTACTAGCTATTCTCATCATATCATGTCTTTGCTACTGTTGTATCTGCAAAAAGACGGTAGTACCTCCTGTAACATCTGGAGCGGCGGTGGTACCCGGTGTTGCTATGTCAGAGAATGCTCCACTTCCCCTCCCTCCGGTGATGGCAGACATGGTTCCTATACCAAACCTAGAGTATGGTACATTACCATCCATGGACGATCTTACATTACCCCGGGTAAAGCCCCTAAACCACCCCAGGTCGTATACGTGCCCTCACCCAACTATTAATGACTAAAAACAATTAATTCGGCAACTTTTCCCACGGTTATTGAAGACATGGATAGTCATGGAAAAAAATAATCCTTCTAATAGTATGGTTCTGTAAAGTCATAGAAAAAGATTAAAAAAAGAAGAAAAACCTCCCAAAGTACATGGGAATTGGTTTTTGAGCCGTGTTTGGCTATGGCAGGCTTCCATTTTAAACTGACAATGTGTGTGGTATTCGTACCGCCGCTTGAAATGCTGAAACCCGTACCAAAATGGTACTTATCTGGTCACAGAACAAGAACGTCTTGGAATTATGTTCTCAAATTCCTATGGGAATTAACCCTCTAATAGTATGGTTTGAAATATTTGTTCAACTTTACAGGTGCAGCTGCATAGCTAGCGTAGGCCAATTGAGGCACTATTCTCCAGTGGACTTTACAATAACTGAATATAGATGTATTCTAACCGATATCATGATGTCATCTTCTCCATCTTTTACTCCCCTTTTCATGTGCCATTGATCGCGGGGGGGGGGGGGGGGAGGGGGGAGGGGGGGTGGACGAGGATTCTCCTCTAGAGCTACGCTATTGTAGCTTCATTGAACCATGTAACAATTAAAATGTAAACGTTTTAATCAGGGATGACTATAGATAATAAAGTAAATATAATGCCTTGTATATTAATCTGACATTTAATATTTAATTCATAACAAAAAAAAAATTGCCTTCTGTTTGAGATTTCTCTTGATAACGAAATAAGCGAATTTTTATTAACATTAATTTCTGACTGAGTGTAGGTAATAGGCCTGAATTTTTATTTCCTCGATTTTTTGTGATTCTATTCGACAGTTTTAATTAAAAGTTTATCGTGTTAAAGGAGATTTGTTTTCTTTGATTTCTATGCTCATTCATCAAATCTATTATTGAGAGCCCTCTTGAGCAACCTCTCCTCTCAAAAATGATAAACATAATTGATTAGAGGAGGCGCGATAGGTCAGTCGGTAGAGCATTGGTCTCGTAATCCGGTCTGGAAACCAAGTCGATGCGCTAGTGCCCTTTGGTATTAAAGGCATTAATCCTCATTATCAGGTCCCTCGGCCGTCTGGTTGCTTACTACTAAGCATTTATATGCTGTCTTAGCAGTCGGGTAAAATAACCACCACCACCACCACACATTATGTCTGTGAATGCTTGACAGTCAAGTTTCATTTCATGGGGGAGGGGTTTGCAATTTTAAAGCACGCTTTTCCTGCCAACATATTTTGCTTGTATCTTAGAATATACCTGTGTAAATTTTTATGTGCATTTGATTTCAAAGTTTGCTAATTTTTTTCATCGACATAAATACTTTTATGATTAAACATGACGTAAGGAGTGCATCGTTGTCCATTTCATTTAGGTAGTGATGGGTGTCATGATCTCGATAGTTGGTTTAGATTGAAATTCAAGTGTTATGATAGATGTGATGTGTAAATGTGTTGTGGTCTTATGTCAACGGACTGTGGATCACATGGTTCGCGGTTTAATTGCTACCCTACACCCAGGGGAGTATTTCACAAAGACTACGATCGACTTTAAGTTGGACTTAACTATGGCAGGCTATTCATGCCATTGTTTCCTCTCACCATTTACTGGCGTTGGTTTCTCACGGGACGTACACATCATGGTCACAAATCTACAGAATTTACTTTTTTTAATAATTCATTATTGAAGGGGAAAATAATATCTAAACATCATAAATGAAAGACCAATAGTGAAAGCAACCAGTGGCATGAATGGCCTGCCATAGTTACGTCCAACTCAAAGTCGATCTTAGCCTTTGTGAAAAACCCCAGGCCCCCCAGGTATTTAAAAAATAGTCACCTAGTAAGATACGATTTTTAATGTGTTTGAATTGGCATTTTATTGGCCTGTTCATCAATAATATATTCCTTTTGTCATGTATATTTATCATTAGCTTTTGTGAAATGAAAGTTCAAATTTAGCATACAAGTAAATATACAAATACAGTCTCTCTGTCTGTCTCTCGTCTGTATACCTCTTTCTTTCTTTCTTTCTTTCTTTCTTCTTTCTTTCTTTCTTTCTTTTGATTTCACTAAATGCACAACGAAATCAATCCTAAGTACGATGCCTACATGCATTGCGTTGGTTGAGCTTTATTGTGTATCTTACATTTGATATTCAAACAGTATGGTTTGTAGTAGTCTCATCACTATACATATATTGATCATCTTTATACAGTCATACTGTACTTCATTCTACTTCGGATTCAAATTAATTACAATAAAGATGTGACACAAAATCCGGAGTCCTCTGTGTGGTTATGAACATTACCGCTTAACCACACATTAGGAAAGGTGTAACAGAAGAAGTAACATTTTACAATCGTAACATAAGCTCACCAAAGATAAAAGAAACATGCATATTATAATAACTAGCTACTGCATTTTTCCTACTTAAAACCAATAATATTATACCATTATACGATATTATTACCAATTTTCCTTATCAAATCATTGCAAAATCAATATCTTCATTCAAAAAAAGTTTCCTACGACATACATAGTATAATAGCATGATAGCAATATTACAGGGAACAAAATAATATATATATATATATATTGAGTGTAAAATGACTAATTTTACACTCAATATAAGAAAGATATATGTATATATTATATTAATATCCAGGAACCAAACGTTTGTCTCTTTATTTTATATGAAGAGAGCACAGTGAATATAAAATACTTAGGTGAGTGCTATACAAGTGCAATTAGGCTATGTGTATTTTTGTAGGTACCAATATGTATTAACAACACAAAAATACCATAGACAATGAAAAGTACATAATACTTAAGTATTTACGTGACATCCTCTTTTTAAAATTCCCTTTTTAAAGGTTGTTGTTGAAATGCAGGGCAGGGTGAAGGTATGTATTGATTTAGTCGTTTCCTCATTATTTATGTACAATACGCTGACATTGTTAAAAGGAAATGCATGTTTTTCATGTCCCCCTTCATCTGCAATGACAGTGTAATTGATAATTCTTATTTTTGTAATTGTATCATTATCATTTTCTTCTTTAAAGTTATGCAAGTCAAACTGAAAATATCTCGTTCAAAGTTATTCAAACCCAATTTCGACCATACTTTTATTTACTACACACATCTTAAAGCCAGCTTTTGAGTATTTGCAGTTAAGCTGCATGCAGAGAAACATATTTTTAAAACTACAATAAGAATATGACTTCTGATCGGCATACGTTTAAGAGCCCCATATAAAAAATTATAATCTTCATGAAATACTTTTGATAAGTGTATACTATTGGGGACAAAATATGACATACAGTCGAAATGTAATTGTGAGGATAGCACACAAACACATAACCGTAAATATTGATATACATGACTGTATTATCCGCCATGCTAGTAATAATACTTATACATGAATCATAACTAGACAAACATGATTGCATCTCCATAAAAATATTGTTATTATGTAATATTTACATGATCTGGTAAGCCGGTGATATGTTAACGAAATAGCAAAATCTTGGTGACTCTCCTACCCCTCCCCGAGTTCCCCTAATTTAACCAGCACTGGTACGTCAACATAAGACGTACAGGTAGACGTTTTTTATATTTGGTTTGTAAAGGATCGATATTAATCGCATTTTTCTACATAAGAGATAGGAGACTGCAAACTTACGATTCATTGGAGGACTTGGAATGACTTGGATCAATCGCAACCCTGTATAAGACGGGGCCCTGGACATACAGTATATGCACGTGATGATAACATTTCATATGTCTTGTTTGTTGTTGTTGTTATTATTCAGAAATTAAATCTAAAGAACACTTCTTATGTGTATACCATGGCATTTGATTTGATGATTTCCATCTCAATCTGCAGCCATCTTGGTATATTCACCATACAACTCAGCAATTAAAACAATTTATGCGTGGCCTTAACATTTAAGCAGAGAAGATGTGCTTAACAATCCTCCTTCATACCTCTAAAAAAAAATCTCATCTTTGATTCATATCAAAGACTTTTCCTTCAATCTGGATGAATTCTCCCTACGGGAAGAAATTATAGTCGATTCATGAAGAGTTTTTCTAACTTACTCTAAATCCATGATAGCCATACAAACTCCTATGATATAAATGAATATAAGCAAATACATTTAGATTTTGAAAGAATATGCAACAAAAACTGTGTCTTAATGTTACAATTTATTATCTTACAATTCCTTTTTAATATCTTGATATGTTCCATAAGCTATCATAGCTGCGTGCAACCCATACAGTGATATGATAGGTTCTACAGATCCACCAATCACCTTCCCAATAGAACCATAGTATAGTTCCAGCTCGATCCATGAGCTAACATTAAATAAACCTATCAGCCAGTTACATGCATTTGCAACAAAGGTATACATGAGGCAAATTAAAACCCATTTGACTTCTGCATCACTTGTCAATTTCCTGCGTTGGATTATGAGTAGGAAAGACGTCATTGTCCAAACAATGTAAAATTGGAAAACAGCGTATACCATAGAGAAAGCAGCAAGAGCTATCTCATCTTGAGCCTTAGTAGCAAAGCGCATTAAGATACCCATAGCCGCCACCAAACGAAAAATATTGAGCATAAATATTCCACCACCGCTCAACAATAGAACAATGTCATGACTCTGTATGAGACCACTTGACACTGTGATTGGATATTTAAGGAGAATTGTTTTAGAACGACCCGATAGGAAGATTTGAAAGTGATAGAGACCTATGAACGGGATGTAAAAAGCCATCCTAAGAACCCATCCAATGTATGTCCTTGTGCTTTTAGAGTTTAGCCAGTCACCATACGATACAGACACATAAAATGTAAAATATATCACATTCAAAATAATGGCCAGAATAAGAATAGTACGTAGATAAGGGAAACGTGGGTGACTTGTGGTAGTATGTTG